AAATAAATAAATAAATAAATAAAGCTGGATTTAACTAAACAATTAGGTACCAATTGGATAAACCAAACTAAAATTGACTAAACTAAAATAAATAGTAACTCCGCCAGAGTGTCTCTTTTAGTGTCACTTTGCCGGTCCCAAGCCCGGATTAAGGAGGAGGGTTGAATGAAGAGCAGCTCCACACTACATACCTACCATCCATCCATCCATCCATCCATCCATCCATCCATCCATCCATCCATCCATCCATCCATCCATCCATCCACTCGTTTCAGAGTTGGGTCACAGGGCAGCAGCTTGAACAGGGAGGCTCCAGCATCTCTTTCTCTGTCTTCTTGGAGGATTCCCAGGAGTTCCCAGGCCAGCTGAGARACATAGTCTCTCCAGTGAGTTCTGGGTCTTCCCTGAGGTCTCCTCCCAGTTGGACCTGCCTGTAGCACCTCCCTATGCGCCCTGGATGCTGATGCCKGGACACAACAACTGGCTCCTCTTGATGTGGAGGAGCAGTGGCTCTACTCTGAGTCTCTCAGATAACTGAACTTCTCACCCTCTCCAAGGGAAAGCCCAGCTACCCTGCAAAGAAAACCCATTTTTACACCTGTATCTGATCAGTTAACAGAGAGCTATACTATACCGGTTCATCAGGATCATTACACAGTTTTATCTCATTTCCACTAGTTTGTTTGGATGCTTAATTTCTTTATTTTAGTATTTTTTATGAGGCACTATTCTTTTTCATGSCATACATGTACATTRAATTGTATTAAATCATCTCCGCTRACTTCATAGTTCAAACTATGTATTTTCTGCAAAGTAAATCATCCACACTTAGACATGGTCATGGCGGTACCAACCAGAACCCAGAAGAAGTAAGTGGTGAAGGGGGTAACAGCCAAAGTGATCAGGCCCACTGCCTCCAGCTGACTGGAGAAGTACAGCAGGTAAAATAAGTATTGAACACGTCAACATTTTTCTCAGTAAATATATTACTAGAGGTGCTAATGACATGAAATTTTCACCAGATGTTGGTAACAACCCAAGTGATCCATACATACAAAGAAATCAAACTATAAATTTCAATTTTTCAATTTTTTTTATAGATTTCAAGGCGTTTAGAAGAGGAAGTGATGAGAAGACAAGTTTATTTTCTATTTAAACATAAAAACAGCATTTTAATAACAACTAAAAGGTGACATAGATACTTTATTATGGTATAGTATTTAAATATATGCCTGAGAAACACATAATATTGCCCCTTTAAAATAAGATATGTTAAAACACTGTTTAGTCAAAGTTAAACATGAAACATCAAAGTTCATTACAACTGGCCCTTCGAGGGCCACCATAACGCTCATGTGGCCCTCAGTGAAAATGAGTTTGACACCCCTGCTGTAGATGATATGCATTATTTCAAGGAATGTTAGACATTTAATTTTATTCATCTAGGGTTTAAAGGAATTTTTACCTGAATAATTCAAAAGTCAGCATTATCAAAATAAAACCAATGTTTCTCATAAAGAACAATTCTTAAGAAATCCTTAAGAAATAATGATCAAAACCACTTACCAGAGAAAGTCCCTCATTTTTAACACAAACATGAAGTCATTCAGATTTCAGTATTGTAACGAGGGGGATAAAAAGGAAAACTCTTTGATTATCAACATCAGTTCATCACAGTTTATTAAAACTTCCTTATGATACAAATTCCACTAATGCTGATTTTTTTTTGATACTTGGAGAATAAAATCTGGTTCTGAAAAAAAATTAGTGACTTTTGTTCATTAACCTACAAAAATAATGTCTGAAATCCTCAGTCTCTATCATGTCACCATGCAAATAAACTAACAAGACACTTTAAAACAAGATGATTTGTTGTTAGTCTGAATTAAATGTCTGAAAGTGAACAGATCAGCTAAAGAAGGTTACATGTAGCTTAAGAGAGAACAAACACTTACACTCACTCTGATCTGAATCGTAACAGCAGTGCAAAAAATAAAACAAAACATGGTCAAAATACTGAAACTAATAAATTAAACACAAAACAAAAAAATGTTAATTCAAATATTGATGTGAAAATACTGCACAATACATTGTTAACAAATGTAAAATAAAGGGAGCGATAAAAGCAACAAAAAGTCAGATTTGTCAGTCTTTGCTTTAGCAGAAAGAAAAAGGCATTTGAAACACAACACACACTGATCACAATACAGCTGATCGGTGTGTTAATCTGTCAGTCAGAATTCAGATTATAGTTTTCAGTCAGAACTGCTCATCTAATGAAATAAGTGATGCAAAGGATATTACACTTCCCTAAAGTTGAGTCTGCTCCCTCTTAAAACCAGTAAAGTTCACAAACACCAGGTTCAAACTGCTGGACAACTCTGATGACAGAGTTATAATGTCAAGACCTTCAGACTGGTCTAAGGGTGTATAAAAATATATATATTCCTAAAATAAACAAGAAATACTGGGTTTCACCAACAGAATATGACAAAAAAAGAATGATGAAAAGCACTTTGTTGCAGGACAGCAGAGATGACATGAATCTGCCTGCAGTGATGAACGTAAGCCATGCACACTGAGACAATTCAAACACGTAAACACAAACAGTTAGAGTGTATAAAACCTGCATCAGAAAATAAAACGCAAGTAAAAACAGCGTTCATGTTGCTCCCACACACAATCAACTACATTAGGACACACATGCAACATTTAGGCAACATGTTTCAGGCCACTATCACACTCAGGTTTAATGAAGGCGGGCTCTAAAACAGAAGCAAAACCAAACATGTAGGGTGACAGGGTAAATAAAGCTGGTAATCTGGTTTATCGGTAGTGGTTTTGGTTTGTTAGGAGCTGTGAAAACAAGACCAGTTTCAAAACTGATAAATCCCCAGGCTTTTAACAAACTGCGTTAGTAGAGGTATTCATAAGTTAAATTAGACGTTTGTCTCGGATGTGCAAAGCAGACTGGAGTTAAAATAAGCCAAGCAGGAGGTGTGTGACCTTTCAAATCAAATAATAGACAACAGCTATGAGAAACGTAATAAATACATGAGCTCTAAAGCTTCAGAAAGTAAGTTAAAACATCTAAAGTTTCATCATCAGAACCTCAGACATCAGTGGGTCTGAGGAGGGCTAAAGCTCCACAAGGTTTGCTAAAGTGAGGTAATGAAAGTAACAATGGTTTTGGTGTCAGTAAAGAGATATTTCAAACGTTTTGAAGTGAGGTTCTGTGGAAAGGTCTTAAACATTAATATCTTACCTGTTGAGAATCGTTCTTTGAACAAACTCAGTTTAGAGAAGTTTAATTTAGACTAAAGTGGATTGTTGCTGAAATAACTCTAATTTCCAAAGTTTTATAGCGGTTCATGCAAATGTTCCTCACAGGGAGGCTTACACCACCATGTTTTTCATTAGTTTTTACATGGAGATCTATAGTTAAGTGCAGAGAGCACCAGCAGATGGCTGTAGCACTTCATCTTATTTCTGCCTAAATAACTGTGTAATGTAAAACTGACTGCAGTGTCCAGAGTTAAACATAGTGTTTGCATTAACACTGATGAGACTTCAAAAATGTTTGATTTATTTATGTTTTTACTAAAATCACTGGAGGTTGAGCCGCTTCAATCATCCAACATCAGTTAGTTAGTGCATCACTAAGACTCAAGCAGATCCACTTTTGAAGTGAATTTTACCATCTTTAAAACTTAGTGGTGATTTATACAAACACTATTTTTAAACTTTTACAGCTCCCTCAGTTCAGCATTATATTGTTATTTGGGGGAGAAAGATTAAATTCTTGCCATAAGTGACCCCAGGCTGTTCCTTGACTGCTACAACTTGCTGCTGCTGCAGCTTTTTGAGAAAACAACCATCAAAATCCATGTAAATAACTGTCCACAGCGAAACTGGCAGTGATGTAAAAATTAGGCTCAAATGAACCTTCGTGACATTTTGGAGACTTGAGATTAAATAAAACTACAGTAATCCACTTCAGTCTTTGTCTCAGGTTGTTTTTCTGTCTGCCAGGTCCAAAAAGGAGGCCACTCTAAGAGCTATCTGTAACAGGTAAGATATTAATTAATTGTAACCATTCCACAGACCTCTTCTTCAAAATGTCAAAAAATGCCTTTTTAATGCCCGGCCCAATTTTTATCAGCTGGAGTTGGTACTGTTTATACATTAGTGGATTGTGCGGGTCTGTATTGAAAGCCTTATTCCAGGCTAGTGAATGTAACATTGGCTCCATATGTTCTCCAAGGCGATGGCTCGTACAAAAATATGAAGGAGTGGTTATTAAAATATCAAAGGCAAAAAGAAAGCACATCGACAGTCCCGAGTACAAAGTGCACTTAAAGTTAAACCAGAATATTAAGTAACATCAAGAGATTCTCTGCCCATCACAAAGACCAGAACAAGCTTAATTAACAAAATCCAGAACCCCAAAGTTTCTCTATGTATTTTTAACATGACCTGCCCTCATGCACTTTGATTCAGGTGTGTCATAAAGAACACAAACATGACAGAGCGTTCAGATGAGTTCATCTCAAAGAGCAAAAGTTGATTAGATGGCCTCCATCACTTTGACCCTGGTACGCTCTGTCCTATTTGTATCAAGCTCTTTAAATGGAGAGTGGTTGTCTGTATCACAAAGAAGCAACATGTAAGGATGCTTTGAAAAAAAGAAAAATTAGCTCGACTGAAAATAAAAAAATATCCCTTCACCTATAACGGGCAGTTCCAACTCCTCAGTGTTGTTTGCAGTGGTTGCAGCTGATCCACTGAGTTCCAATGTTCTCATTTACACAGTACAAATGACAGCATCTCCAAGAAGTTAGCAGGTGCACTACTCCAGTTTTTACTCCTTCTCAGGATGCTGCCTTAAAGACGTTGTTGCTGTTTGTAACAGGTTCTCAGTAGTTGTGTACAGGTTTGTCCTGCTGATGTCCATCGAGTTGTTTAAAGAGTAAAAGCTCAAGCCTCGGAGCCCAGGGGGGTCCGTGTTGGACTTGGAGGGAGGCGAGCTGCTGCACTGTGCTCAGTGCGGAAACTGTAATCATACTGACAAAGAGAACAAGACAATCATTTCATCCTTTGCTATCACACCTTCAATATCGCTCTAAAAACAGTGAGTAACACACCACTCACACTGCCCTCTGGTGGATATATCATGTAACTACAGCAAATCTCTACATTTGTGGAGACCTTTTATTTCTGCAGAATCCATGCAGTAAGTCATTTAAAATGTGGGAAGGTTCAAGGTTTATTTGTCTTTGTTACTATATTGTCAGTAACAATAACATAAGTTACATAAATGTGCATTTGTTTATAACCTATCAGAGTGTTTATGTTGGCTAAACTTCCACAAACAAGCAATCGAAATAATCAGCTGATGGAGAGAATATTTTTGAAACTAAGGAAATTGCCTTTCTTACCTCTTTCTCAATGTCAGCCAGTGATTTGATTGTAATGCCCATAAGGTCAACCTGCAGCAGCTGCATACACAGAACATGAATGGTTAATTAGAGATCAGTTACATGAAGAGTTCAAACCTACAACACACTCTAGATCAGTGGTTCCCAAAGTTGGGGTCGGGACCCACAGTGGGGTCTTCAAAATATTTTCTGAATTAATTACTTTAAAAATGACAACTAAGAACATTTTTTGCCTTTGTTGTTACAAAATAATAAGATTAGTGTACTTAAAAATGGACAAAAATAGCATTATAATGTTGCTATGCTTTTGTTTATTTGACAGGAAAACAATTTTTATCAACCAACAAAAGCTGGGGGCACAGGTCTCTGCTGCTAGCATTTTGTGGGTCAAAAGCTGAAAAGTTTGGGAACCACTGATCTAGATTATCAGCTTCGGTGTAAAACCTGAGCAGAGAACAGTCCAGCTCACAGCTTGAGGAGGAATATCGGTACCCAGCAGCACAGCCTCATCAAGAAAACTCAGCTTCAACAACTTACATCTGAAGAGGCGCAGGCAAACTTCTCAGAGATCATGAAAGGCACCCCGTCCATTGCTGAAAAAGACAAGTCAAAGACTTCACATTAATGCTTCTTTGTAAATGGTCTGAACTGAGCTTATATGGTGTTTTACCAAGTCCTAGGACTCCAAAGTACTTCACACTACAGTCAATTGCACAGTAGAGCCACCGGGTTCATTATTAACACAGTGACAGATTTTGGACAAAGATATAAAAGAGGAAAATAAACCACTGACCTGAGATGGCATAAAGGTTGGAGTTCTGGTGCTCATAGTCTGGTCTGGTGGTGTTCTTCCCTCTGAAGCTGGCAGGCAGGGTCATGGAAATATGCCTTTTAGATAAAAAAATATATATATATTTTTATAAAGTTAAAAACAATTTATTTATTTATTAACAATCAATTTATTTACTAAATTTATTACATTTACATAACGTTCATGTTTAGTAAAGCGTCACAAGATTTTTATCATCAGGAAACATGAGTTAAGCTCCAAGGTCAGAGGAACAAGAGGTGGAACGCAGAACAGGATACAGCTGGTGCTTTGGAATCGTTTCCTGATGCACCACAAGGACATACATGAATTTATTTTTATTTTATTAACCTCTCCTTAAGCAGGCGAATCCCACTGAGATCACAGACCTGTTTAAGACTAACCCGCAAAGCAAAATGACATAATTGTTGAAGTGAAAAGCAGAAGGATCAATGATCTTTAGTTCTCCTCTGCCATAAGTTTAAAACCATGAAATGTTGAAATGTTAACCCTTATGATAACAGTGGTGACTCTTTCACACTTTTGTTCAGGATGGAAAAAAAGATATAAACAATGAAAACCAACATCGCAATGTTCTGATAAAATAAATAATATTGTCTCTAAAAATACTGTAAATTTGACATTTGACTTTCATCTCATACTTGAGTGAAAAACATTGAACACAAAAATACTACTGTTGCGCTTGTGTTTCAGTGATCTTTTTGAACAATATAACTATTACCAAGAGAAAAACAAATTACAGTAAAGCTCCTTTGTCTGTAGAAATGAGTTTTTTAAGAGGAACCAACATTATACAGCCCTGACGGTGGGCCCTCTTTTCTAGAGATGGTTGAGGGTCCTGACGGGTCTTCTGTGGACAGGCCGTCTACGTGGAAGACCGTCAGCTGCTGATCGGCTCCCACACCACATCTGGAAGTTTAAAAGTCGAGACATTCCAGCCATCCGTTGGCAGCCTTCAACATTAGCTTTTGCCTTCCAGTCCTCAAGATATTTGTATTAGTACTCTGAGTCTGTGAACATTCTGATACTTTATAAGTGTTAGTGCATTTTGTTTTTATATAACCTAAAGCACTTGTTGATAAACATATTAATTAATCAAGCTACTGTGGATGTAGGCAGCCAGATTTACTAATGTCTTTTTGTTTATTTAAATCAGGGTTTTAAAAACCTTTTCCATTTTTTTGCCACTTCAGTAGAAAACAGAACTGAATGTTAGTTTCTTCATCATCAGTGATTTTTTTTTTAAAAGGATCTACGATTAGTTGCAACATTAGACTTTATTTGATAAGCGTATATTTTGACTGTAAAATAAAGACGGTAAAAATACTGTAGGGTGTTTAGTTTTTACAAATTTTAAACTAAAAGTTTAAAAAATGGATGGATGGATGGATGGATGGATTACACAGATGGGGCCATTTTATTTACATGCAAAGCATTCTGGGTAAATGATGATGTGAGTAGGTCATCGGTGTGAGGCTGCTAGCGAGCTATATCCACCCTGAAGGTTAATCTTGGACAATATCTGATGATCGACTCTTTTAAATGAAACCAGAGAGCGTTGACAGAGAGGAGAAGGTAGAAATGACTCAGCCTGGAACTGAAGATATGGATGGAGGACAACAGAGCTGCTTCATGGAAGAAGAACCTCAGCTTAGCCTGTTAGCCTTTGTGCTAGCGCCGACTCTATATTGCCTTATAGGTACTAGCTCGGTGCTAGTGCGACAAACAAGCTAAACTGAGGTCCTCCATCTATATTTTCAGTTACAGACTGAGTCATTTCTACCTTCTCCTCTCTGTCAACGCTCTCTGGTTTCATTTAAAAGAGTCGATCATCAGATATTGTCCAAGATTAACCTTCAGGGTGGATATCGCTCGCTAGCAGCCTCGCACCGAGGACCTATCCACATCATCATTTACCCAGAATGCTTTGCATGTAAATAAAATGGCACCGTCTGTGTAATATATTTTTAAACTTTTAGTTTAAAAATTATAAAAACTAAACAGCCTGCAGTATTTTTACAGTCTTTATTTTACAGTTAAAATATATGTTTATTAAATAAAGTCTAATGTTACAACTAATCGGGGATCCCTTTAAAAACCTTTTCCTACCCCCTTTATATTTATAAACACAGCACTGAGCCCATTTAGCAGTTTCCAGTAGTGGTTCTATAATTTTTCTTAAAAACTCCAGCCAAAGTGAAAAATATCTAATTTTCTTTGATATCTGAAGTCATTAAACATTTTAAAATTTTTAGTTTTTTTTCTCTTTTTTTATGTCAACGCTGAATGTTGCTTGCACTTGTTTTCCATTTTAATGCTCTACCGTTTTCCTAAATCCCCCCCCAAAATTGTTTTTTTTAACCAAAAAATGTTTTCAAATACAATCACTATTTTTTATTCTTAATTCAGGACCACAAAACGTGATTATGTGTGTGCAAAGGTATCAGAGTGACCGTACTTGGGCATTGGAGCTGCTGGGATCGGAGCTGGGACTGTGGAAGAATTCACATTTTGGATGTTGTTGGTGGTCGGTGTGTGCGTTGAGTCCTGTGCACGAGGCACATTCCCCATGCGGTACCAGATTCCCATGTTGTTTAGCTCACTGCAAAACAAGGTCATCGGTATTAAATATGGAAAACAAAAAGTCGATTTAAATAGTTTTGTAGTGTTTGTTAATGAATACTCCATTCATCCTTTATAAACATGGACCTGTGTAACCACTGAGTGATATGAGCTGTGTAGACATTCAATCAGTGTTTGTTTTGAAGTGTTTCTCAGCAGTTAATGCAGCACAGTTATTTCTCTGGGACAAAAATCTAAATTATTTTTAAATTTTTTTAAAATCTTTCCTCTCATGTTAGGTAAGTACAAAATCTGACATTTGACTCCTTTACATCTTAGGGGAAAAAAAAACATAAAAATACCTCTTGGTAGCATTTCCAAATAAACTGTTCTGTAGCCACGTGGAGTACATACAAAGAGCAGAACTAGTTTGTGTTTACAACTTTGTTTGTGACTGGATGAATGATTCCTCTATGAGCTCATTTACAGCTAGCTCAGTTGCCTGTTGCCTTGTGGATATAACATAAAGGTTTTACAGGTTGAAGTCAAGTATTAACCAAAAACAAATGCAGGGTTTACAGATTTTCATGAAGTTTTCCCTGAGTCAATCCTGAAATGCCAGGAGATATTTCAGTAAAACAAAATGCTCCAAGATTAGCGTCACATTGTTTTTTTCTACCCATTCACCAACAAACCATCACCTGTAAGTGTAACAGCTCAATGTCAGTATAATGCTGCTGTACTTTGGCGGCAACTCAGTGCATTTAGGCATGTAGACATGGTCAAGACAATCTCCTGCAGTTCAAACCGAGCATCAGTATGGGGAAGAAAGGTGATTTGAGTGCCTTTGAACGTGGCATGGTTGTTGGTGCCAGAAGGGCTGGTCTGAGTATTTCAGAAACTGCTGATCTACTGGGATTTTCACGCACAACCATCTCTAGGGTTTACAGAGAATGGTCCGAAAAAGAAAAAAACATCCAGTGAGCGGCAGTCCTGTGGGCGGAAATGCCTTGTTGATGCCAGAGGTCAGAGGAGAATGGGCAGACTGGTTTGAGCTGATAGAAAGGCAACAGTGACTCAAATAACCACCCGTTACAACCAAGGTAGGCAGAAGAGCATCTCTGAACGCACAGTACGTCGAACTTTGAGGCAGATGGGCTTCAGCAGCAGAAGACCACACCGGGTGCCACTCCTTTCAGCTAAGAACAGGAAACTGAGGCTACAATTTGCACAAGCTCATTGAAATTGGACAAAAGAAGATTGGAAAAATGTTGCCTGGTCTGATGAGTCTCGATTTCTGCTGCGACATTCGGATGGTAGGGTCAGAATTTGGCGTCAACAACATGAAAGCATGGATCCATCCTGCCTTGTATMAACGGTTCAGGCTGGTGGTGGTGGTGTCATGGTGTGGGGAATCTTTTCTTGGCACTCTTTGGGCCCCTTGGTACCAAATGAGCATCGTTGCAACGCCACAGCCTACCTGAGTATTGTTGCTGACCATGTCCATCCCTTTATGACCACAATGTACCCAACATCTGATGGCTACTTTCAGCAGGATAATGCGCCATGTCATAAAGCTGGAATCATCTCAGACTGGTTTCTTGAACATGACAATGAGTTCACTGTACTCAAATGGCCTCCACAGTCACCAGATCTCAATCCAATAGAGCATCTTTGGGATGTGGTGGAACGGGAGATTCGCATCATGGATGTGCAGCCGACAAATCTGCGGCAACTGTGTGATGCCATCATGTCAATATGGACCAAAATCTCTGAGGAATGCTTCCAGCACCTTGTTGAATCTATGCCACGAAGAACTGAGGCAGTTCTGAAGGCAAAAGGGGGTCCAACCCGTTACTAGCGTGGTGTACCTAATAAAGTGGCCGGTGAGTGTATATATATATATGCACACCAAACATCTCCATATATTGCAAAAAAGACAAACAAAAAATAAATAAATAAACTGAATCCTGTAATGGTATATGAAGCTCTAACAAGAATGTTTCCTGCAAACTGGATTCACAAAAGAGAGAATATGTAAGTAAGTAAGTAAGTAAGTAAGTAAGTAAGTAAGTAAGTAAGTAAGTAAGTAAGTAAATAAATAAATAAATAAATAAATAAATAAATAATCAAACACTGCATGATGCGTGTTGACATTTGATCTCAAGCTGCTTACCCTATAAAGGTATACTGAGGAGGCGCCTGCTTGGAGCGTCCCAGGATGCGGATGTCACAGATAGCTGCCTCTGTAGAGTCCCTTGGAATAAACTTGATGCAGAGTCGCCTCTTCCTGAAGGCCTGCTCCTCTGCAGAAGACAAGACGGACTGAATTTCACTCCCACTGCCAGAAGTACACACAGCCTCACATGAATAGTTAAAGAGGTCTAATAAATGCATTTGAACAGCTTAATAATCTAATTGACCATTTTTAAACATGTTTGCTGCAACACTGTCGAAAGTTGCGGACTAAGCTAATAGCTTACGAGTGTCAACAGTCTCCTGGATCGGGATGAAACCCACTGGCAAAGTGTCCTTTATGTCAATCAGCTTCATGTCCACAAGGACGTTGCCTAAATGGCTCTAAACAGAAACGAACAGAGGACAGCAGAGAAAGAGAGAGATCAGTAATAACACAATGGCAGATATTTGGGGACTTCAAGGTCTGGGCCGGGGAAGCACAGAAAAGCTAGAAAAAAAGGCTCCATTTATCCATAACAACTTAAACCATTAAATTTATTTACGTAAACAATACTGTTGTGTTGCTTTGTGAATTGACTTACATTTTCTTTTGAGAAAACTCTGGTGAAGCAAAGGTAACGAGTCACCTTGGATTTGAAAAGGCCATCTTTCCACAGGTCAGCATCCAGACCATCTGTTGTTGTAGATATCTGGAGGAAAATCATTCAACAAGGGGTCGTCACTGAACTGAGATCAGAGTGACAAGCCCTGTGTGTCACAGGTGTAAAAAGGTCAACGTGAAGAGTCTTATGGGTAAAAAAGAACCACGTTAACTAGAATTTTAACCTTCAACAAGTACATATTTTACTATATTTATTATTATATTTTTATACTGAATTTTTTGCTCAGTTTCTAATCGCAATTTAGATACAAAAAACATTTTTAATGATTTTAAGATGCAACAAACACAGAACTAAAAAACACTTCCTTTTTTGCATTCTGCCTATAAATTTAGCATTTTTAACATCCATTAGCTCCATGTATTTCTCTGTACCACATCATATCCAGTGGGCGCCCTGTTCCTAGAGGCAACCACTCCAACTCCAGTGATTGGATCCATGGACATCTCTGGCAAAGCCTCAGAAAGATCCCGAACCTCAGGCATGTTTGCAGAGCTCTGCAACAAAAAATGAACATCTGTTGTTATTCACAAATTCACACCAAAGTTTCACTCGTACTCAAACTAGAGCGCACACACAAATTTCACTTGACCAGCCTGAATGATGACAAAAAGAATGGGCACTCAAATACAGTTTTTCCAGTAACTGCATCGTCAAGCCATTAATAGGTGTAATATCTGGTAATTTATGGCAGATTTAGAGATGCAAGGCTAAGATGCTGTTGATATGTGCAATCCCTGAAAGTATAGTGTTTGAATTACATATACACATGCAGAAAGCTCAAGTTGTGACTGATGAATCTACACAACACTTCTCTTTGGATATCAGGACAGGGAACAGAATTAGAGACAGGGATCATTAAATGCATCATTAAGAAAAAAACACTGTACGTTGTTTTCTTTTTTTAGTTATTTTAGGACTTTTCTATCAGTTTTGCTAGTGAGTTTAAAAAATTCCACTGTGAAAAAAAATGTGAATTTGACTGAAATAAAAATGAATGCCTGCTGTTGGATCAACACAATAAACTAACTGTGTAAAAGTAAATACACTGAACATAAATATCTATTACCATAGAAACTGTGCAAGGTTTGAGTCAATTCTTTTTTACATCGAAACACTTCAATACTAGTCATACTTGTTACAGCAGCTGGAGAGTATATTTGTTTACTTTCATGGCATATTATTAATTATATCAACAACATCTGGTGCAAAGATTTCATTCACATGAAACAGCTATGGAATGTGAATGAGGCTTAACAAAAAAATTACCTAACTCCATAATTTGTTAGTGAAACAGTATGTTATCAATCGATAACTAGTCCAGTATATAACATTATGGTTCGCCAGATTAAGTTAAAACACAAGCTAGCTAACGAGCCAGTCAACTACTAGCATGCTAGCGGGGAGTGTCCTCATACATCAGCTACAAGCTACGGATTAGCTTGTTACATGCTAATGTAAATCTGTCCAGCTGGGTGTTGTTAGCACTCAGGAGATTTAAGGGTTCACCAAAGCACTCTCCTTCACTGCCGAGCTCCAAACAAAAGCACATTTGCACCGATTCAGACAGTAGCGGCTAATATTAGCATGCTAACCGTGGAGCATTACTTACCCAGCAGGGGTTAACAACAGTAAGACAAGTCTTCTTCTGTTTTCTTCTGCGTTCTGCTTTCTTCACAGCCTCAGAGAGACACGCATCTTTAGGAAATGTTCGTGTTCAGCGAAGCAACCCGAAACCTTTGTTGTTCGGAGAGTGTCTGCATGTTGGGTCCGCAGCATGCGAAGTCAAAGTGCGCTAACGCTAAACTGTTGAAGATTGTGCTGCTGGGTCGGTGAACGGAGGAGACCCTCGCCCCCTCCCCTTCACCACGCAATGAGCAGACATTAAAAGCTGCACAGTTTGTTTTGCGTCTAAAATTCTTCCTGTCAAGTCTTTCTGTTGACAGTGAGGGGAGGGCCGCCTCTGATCATGTATGTATGTATGCGTGAGCCACTGGGCTGCAGCTGCTGGGGTCATATTTACCATTTTTGTGAAAATTATAAATACAGTATGACTTGCAACCCGAAAAGAAAGAAGCAGAAAGAAAATGCATGGATGGATGAATTAAATTTATATTACCAACTGGTGTAGCACAAAGGGACCCCTTCTTTCATGACCTCTAACCTAAAAAGTTTAAAAAACAAAAAAATTGTATAGGTCTTCTGGACGGGTTCTTCTCTAATGAAACGTTTCGTCTCTCCTCCAAGAGACTTCTTCAGTCTGAGAGTTTCAGGCAAAATTCAGGCTTTTAAGCACTGCCTCCATGTGACTGATACTCACATCACATGGCTATCGTTCACACCTAATTAACACTTATTGTTAACAGGGGGTGGAGTGATACTGGCAATAGCAGCACTGTAGGAGGGGGACAACTGAAAACGGAGGCCTCCACCTCTGTTTAATGATGGACGGTCTTTCTTCACAAAAATGGCTTCTTTTACTCCTCTCAAACCAACATTCCTCTCTATCAAGAATGAGAACATCCTCATCTCTGAAAGAGTGACCACTGGCCTGTAAATGAGTGAAAACTGCGGAGTTCTGGCCATTAGATGTAGCTCGTCTGTGTTGGGACATTCTTTTGAACAGTGGTTGCTTTGTTTCCCCGATGTATAACTGGTCGCAGTCCTCCTGGCACTTAACAGCATATACAACATTGCTCTGTTTGTGCCGGGGCACCGGATCTTTGGGGTGAACCAGCCTTTGCCGTAATGTGTTTTGGGGTTTGAAAGCCACTGGGACATCATGTTTAGAAAATAAACGTCTCAGTTTCTCCGAAACACCCGCAACATATGGAAACATTGTCCCCCTCCTACAGCGCTGCCATTGGCAGTATCACTCCACCCCCTGTTAACAATAAGTGTTAATTAGGTGTCAACGATAGCCATGTGATGTGAGTATCAGTCACATGGAGGCAGGGCTTAAAAGCCTGAATTTTGCCTGAAACTCTCAGACTGAAGAAGTCTCTTGGAAGAGAGACGAAACGTTTTATTAGAGAAGAACCCGTCCAGAAGACCTACACAATTTTTTTCCTTTTGATTTTTTACCTGGATTACTGAGATGCATCAGGACACTAAAAAGTATCAAATTTCATTTACTACCTGTAACTGAGTAGGAATTTTGGCTGTAGCCTAATTATTTTATCTGCATTTTTATTTTCACTTCAGTAGGTTTTTGAATATTGTACTTAGTTGAATTTGAAATGCCATTCATTACTGTGTAAAATATTGTGATGTAAACATGTGATTTAAAATTAAGCTGAAAAATAAATATGAACCATTACACATGAAGTGTATAATTCAGTGATGACAATTCAAACCCATAAAAACTGGGCAAAGTTTGCGTTTAGTCATCAGGCTTTCTGAGCACATCACCAGCTAAACCTCCCCCATGACTTCTGCTGAAGTTGTAGGCTTCCAGAGTTGTAAAGTAACTAAGTACAAATACTTTGTTACTGTACTTAAGTAGAAATTTTGGTTATCTGTGCTTTACTTGATTTTTCAGCGCACTTTTTACTTTTACTCATTACATTTTTACACAATTACCTGTACTTTCTACTCACTACATTTTTTAAAAATGTAAGAAGTAAAAAGTTGTTACTCCTATTTTATTCTGAGTTATTATAAAAATATACAATCCTGATAAATTGTGTCTCCTGGATCAAGTGAATTTAATTGTGGTTCGATGATTAGTACAAATATATTTCATTTTGACACCCTATTAGCTTGTACACAACCCATCACAGCTGCACGCTGTTAGAAAAAAATGTTTTTTGGAGAAGTCACCTCCCAATAAATGTCATTTAGGAAAATCTAACAGCTCACTTTTACTCAGTACTTTTACTTTTATTACTTAAGTACATTTTGTGTCAGAAATTTACTTTTGATACTTAAGTACAAAAAATAGCAGATACTTTGAGACTTTTACTTAAGTAATATTCTTAGAGAATACTTTAACTTTTACCAAAGTATTTTTATGATAAGATTCTTGTACTTTTACTCAAGTATCACTTTCAGGTACTTTATACAACACTGTAGGCTTCAAGGTAGCCTTGGGTCTGGGGACCCCTTAAAAAGGGTAAAAAAATTCCAGGGACCCCCTCAAAAACCTCATGCTGTTTTAAAAGATAATTTATTGTCATTTAAACCCCTAAATGCCATGGGATTATATATATTTTTATAAAGTTTATGATGTTTGTTTATTAGTTCATTGTTCTCCATGCATTTTTTAAAAATAAAATCCAAATTAACAATTTAGTGAAATTTTTTGATGACCCTCAAAATACCTCTCGTGGACCCTGGGGATCCTGGAACCCCAGTTTGAGAACCTCTGGCTTAAAGGAATGAAGTTTAATTCTCCTAAATGAGCTCAATGTTTTATGAATGGTTAAAATAGCACAAAGTGTGCAGAAGTAGTTAGAATGAAAAAAAACCCACTGGAAAATAATACAATTCACACAATTATGTTCACATTCATTTCAAGGTTTCTACACCAAGACTCAGAATCACTTTATTGTCATAAAATCATTACTGTGTGCCATCCTGAAAAAAGAATAAGAAAAAACGAATCAGAGCTGAAGCAGTGAAGAATTATAGACCTGTCATCTGAAATTATGAAAAGTTGCTTCTAAAAAATACACCAGCCAACAAAACAAGTGGTCTGGGACAAATAGTTTTTGTAACTACTGAGTACCTCATCAAAATCATGTGCCTGATTCAAGTCAACAACCAACAAATGTAGAATAATAATTAAAAAAATGTGGGACAAAAGAAGTTTCACATACTGCTTCTGGAAGAGAAAACAGAACCAAAGACAACAGGAAACGGCACAAAAGACCTTTTGTCTTTTAATGTTTTTCATAAAATCAGAAGAAAGGTTAATGAAATTCTCCCTGCCACATTTGTTTTATTGGCTACTAAATGTTTCTGGTAAAATTATTTAATTTCCATCCATCCATTATCTTAACCCACTTCTTCCTTTCAGGGTCACTGTGCTAGTGGTGCCAGGGCAGGAGGAGAGGTGCTGGACAGGTCACCAGAACACCACAGAGACATCAGCCGTCCATGGTCTGCTCAAGCTCTAAAACTGAGACAGCGGGAGGGTTCAAACATGAAAAGACTTTTCCTGACAGTGAAGCAGGTTATTTATCTCTTAAATGTGATGCTTTTACTAAACAGGATTAAAAACTAATTGATAAATATCAGCAAAACTCAACTAAGCTTTAAAAAATAACACGCGTTTTATAAAGTCATTTTGATCAGTAGTTCTTTAGGCTTTGTGGTGGTTTTTAAAAGCTTTACTTTGTAATGATTTCACCCAGTGTTCTGCCCAGTGTTTTGCCAATGACAGCAAATAAAGAAAGTGGACAAAGTGAAAGACAAAACTAAAATTCTTGTGTCTAATCAAAACCTTCCTGCAGCAGATGAGCCATATCTGAAAGACATGCCTTTAAAAATGAAATTAACACCAAATGCACATCACCTGTGGCCTTGTGTGAGGGAGATCTACGCTTAGGTTTTCTGCTGAGAAGAAATTTTGTTTTTTGATGTAAGGACCAGTGGTAGACAAAATACTCAACTCTAGTACTTGGGTAAAACCAATGATACTCATGGTCAAATCTACTCAACTACAAGTAAAAGTTACTCGGTCAAAGATCTACTCAAGTTAATGTATTGAAGTACTTACTTTTGAAAATACTTTTCAAAAGTTCATGCATTTTTTTGGGCCTCGGTGGAGTCAACACCGAGCGATCCCTGTTAGGAGTCAAGTCAATCCATTTATGGCTAACTATTGGAGACTCGACCCGGGGTGGGGTTTGATCCTGCCTGGTGGCGTTACGTTGGGAAACTAGGGCCCTGATGTATTCTTTTAACCCGATGCTTAACCCACTGAGCTACAGGCAGCTGCCCAAATGAACAGCGGAAATTGGTAAATTTCACTCTTATAGCCCAGACGTTCCAATGTGTGGCCGAGTTGCATCATTGAAGACGCTGCGACAATGCATATATGGGCGTACTTCCGGGAGTGACGCAACCCGGCTAACCAGACCTCAAGTTTTATACGAAAATCTACCATGCACACACCCAACAAACATGTTTTTTGACTGTGAGCGGTAGGAGGCAAGACACCTAACCTGAGATCAAGTCAAGACCAAGACAACTGTGCCTCGAGACCGAGACAAGACCAAGACTTTTAGGGCTTGAACTAAGTCGAGACCAAGACCAGAAAATAAATAAATAAACTAGTGTCCTAAAATATGGAGTATTCTGTACTGGGGGAATGGGGGAAAGTGGTAATGAGTGGAGGACAGAGGAGCCTCTTAAAGAAGAAGTTACAGATCTGTGGGAGACAGAAATCTTGCTTGTTTTTGACCAAATACTTATTTTCCACCATAATTTGCAAATAAATTCTTTAAAAATCAGACAATGTGATTTTTTACATATATTTTCTCATTTGTGACCCATCAAATCGAAATGAGGATTAAGTCAAATTTGTTCAAAATGGCCTAACTGCATTTTCAGATTCCTGGCTTTAAAAGCTACATTTTGATACCTGGATCATCCTGATATCTTAACTGGATCCAGAGATATGACTTAACTGGTCTTGTTGGTTATGATAATACAATACTCTTTGGTCTGATTCCTAATTTTATGTAAATTTATCGAGTAATTTTTGATGTTAATATAAAGAGAGGAAACCTCAAATAGTATTTGTTTATTAAGATTTCCCAGTTGGAAAGAAACAAAAGCAATGCTAGCTCACATGGAAAAATTCAAAATTTAAGCAATTTTTCTTCAAAACCAGATTTTTTGTTGCTACTGCTCCAAGAAATGCTTCAAAAATGTTTTTTAGGAGTATATTTCAGACAGTTAGGCATTTATTCATTACATTTTGACAAAGTGCAATTTTTGCACAC